AACCAGATCAAAGCATTTTCTCCCTTCCTTGCTAGGGCCCTAAATCGTATTAAATCAGTGAAGAAAACGCACTCCAAGTACATCGCACTGCAATGCTTGTCCTGATTGCACGTGTCTTTACAGGTTACAAAGAGGGCTTTGTGATTTCCTGGATTTTCAAGCGGGGATTCGTTCTCGTAAGGTCCAATCGGAGACCTCGTACCAAGGCCTGACCTATGAGACTCCTTATGCTGTAAAATACAACATTCCTAATTTTGAAAAGTTGCGCAAATGCCGGCCTTCACATTTTTTTGAGTGGCCAGATGCCTAGGAGCAACGGAAATAGTAACTACTTTAAATTTAGCAAAAGTCATTCAATGACATCAGCAATCGCTCCCTTTACATATTTTAATCACTTTCCCGTCAAAGGCAAATATTTGTCTGCATTGTAGAGGTTTAAGCGTACTATAATAAAAAAGGGGCGGTCAATTTGCAAATTTGCGAGCATAAAAAAACTTCATGACTTTACTATGGCGAAGCATTGTAGTGGCTTAGATATTTGCACGCTTTTTACACTATACAGTGATTCTAAGTATAGAAGGATGCTTCACGGCACATAATTTCGTCGCTACGGCTGATCAAAACTGGTTTTGGAGAGTTATAAAAGGGAATACCGTTTGCAAGAGTATGTCGTTTAGTAAAACTCGCAAAACCCGCACTATCCTCTTTTCAAAATGCTGTATCTCGGTCGCTTGGAGAGAGTGTTTTACTCTCAACCAAACAGCAATAGACTCTTGTTAGTTCCAAGACATTGGCATCCAAAGGTCGGAATACCTATTTACTTAAGTCTAATAGCCCTTGTAATAACAAAACCATTAGAGATCCTGGGAACTAATGCTCGTGGTTTAAAACTGTACTGGTGGCAACGCTAGGATGCTGACCGCTGACCCTACCCACACGATATGACATGTGAAGCTTTGGAAATCTACAAAGCTGCTAAGTGCTAAGTAAATCCAAACTTGGTTCACACCGATATATGATTTTTGATTTGACTGGTCCAACTAGGCAATGAACTCACCGAAGTTATGAAGTTACGAATGATAAAATGAAGTAATTGTCTGTTTTATTCAAAGACGTGTTAGCTGCAGCTTTTAGTTGTGTTGAGGATGATCGAATGGATTAC